GGAATGAAAATGACGTTACATACGAGGTTGATGCATTTGTGCATGTCGTACTAAGCAAGGTATAAAAACAGTTGCTTTATGAGGAATTAGTTCGTACCATTGAATATTTGACGCAATAGACAAGGTGTCGCAGAAACCGATGTTGCTATAACCAAGTTTTACTGTGTATATATATATATATATATGTTTTAATGTTTTTGTCCTACCTTAATATAGTCCGTTTTAATTTCTTGGCTCGTTGTGCTGTTTATACTGTTTTAGTGTGTGTTGTGCCGCATAATTTATACTTCCTGTATCTGTGACGTTGTTGTGGGTGTGTTCTTATGTTGTATTATGAGGTCAAACATGTTACGTTGGCTATTACTTTCTTTTGTGTGTTTTTGTTCTTCTATTAATTCTTTGAATTTATTAGAGTGATATATGTGTAAGTCCTCTTTTATATTCATAATGTTTCCTTTTTTGGCTTTTTCAATCATTTCCATGATTACTGTCATTGGTTCTGCCAGTTTGGCCTATATATATTTTTTGGCTGCTTTGGCATGTTATTTTGTATATTCCACTTTGTTTGTATGGGTTTACTTCATGTTTTTCATTTGTTAGTTTACCTATTGTGTGGGTTGTTTTGAATGCTATCTTTATACTAGTGTTTTTGAATAGTTTTGTGATTTTTCGTATGTAATTTCCTGTATATGTATAAGTGACCCATGTTTGTTCTTTTTCGTCTTTTTTATCCGGGTTATCCATCTTATGTTTAAGTTTGTTATATAGGTGTGTGATGTCTTGCTTTTTATATCCGTTATTTAGTGCTATATTCATAATAGTATTTAATTCTTTATTTTTAGCATTTTCTTCAAGTGGCAGTGTAAGAAGTCTGTGTATCCAATTTTTATATGCTGCCAATTTTTGTTCTTTAGGGTGGCATGATTTATTATTTATTGTTATGTCTGTCATTGTGGGTTTTCTGTATATTTCCAATTCTATTTGTCCATGTTTATTAATTATGTTTAGGTCCAGGTAAGGTATTTGGTTGTTTGTTTCTTCATTTGTTGTGAATTGCAGGTTTTTTTGGTGTTTGTTGAAATGTTCAAGGATGCATTGGGGGGTTATTTTTGTTTGATTATATATTGTGAA